TGGAGATAACACCGCGTGAAAGATGTAATTGTTGAAGGGGAGGACACTCGCATGACGTTGTCTCTCCTTACTAATACACTATGTGGACGAGGCAGTTAATATCATAAGGGATAGGTTAAAGGAGAGAGATCCCTTAAGAATAGAAGAAGCCTCCCTGTTGACATCATCGTGTTGTTGAAAAAAAACTCAACACTACTTATTTCTCATTCAGGGTGACAATTTACCAGCAAAAGGTTGAAGCAGCGATATTGGGAATCCAGTCTGCACAAAAGTATCAGTGACGTTGGTAGCTTTCAATTTAAGGGTTAGAATAGTTCCACTTGAAAGTTAGAAAGTTTTCATTTTACATATTGGGAAACGTATTGGGTACAGTGTATCCAACTCGTAATCGGAGGCTTTACAACTGTCAAAAAAATTGTCAAAAATGCATAACTGGAATATGACCATTATGAATACCTACACCTATTTCTATGTGATTTCAAACAATCCTCGTTCATGGAATGCAGAATAAATATGTCATTCTCATTACAGTCGCCGATACTACTTTATTTAGGCGGGACACAGTCAAAGGGAGATAACTAGCACACACATACTAGTACACGTGTACAAAACGCACCTCGCAATCACCAATGGTATGTTAACCACACCCAGCTCATTCTTGTTAGATATTAAATGACGTTTAGACACCATGGTGAGTGGTCATGTACATGTTGTGTGCTAACATCACTATCTTGTGTCATGAAGGCGGTCAAACTAAGTATCAGACAATGCATCATACAATGTGCTCCCAACCAAACTGATATGGCGGTGTTTTTAGTACACCAGATTATATAGATAGATCAAAATGAATTGTTATATACAAACCTTTGCTTTGTTCCTGTCTAACACTGCATCACCTGCAACCTTTCCTCTCGAACATCTGCTTTCGAATTCTCCGAATTTGATAGTCATTTCACTTTCGTTTTTCAAAACATCACATCATTAATTCTCCGAATCCTACTTTCATTTTCGATTAGCACACTTCCTGTTATCATAGACCTAAATTAACTTTAGGTCTCTGCTGTTATTTGCAACCAGCTATTGGAATATGAGTCCGGCAAACGGCAGCTGTACATGGTATAGGAGTTAATCGGTAGCCGCAGAGTTGCGTATTTTTTTAACCGGAAATGAAGCATGTGAAAGTGAAAGTAGAAGTTCAGTGTCAACAAATATATGACTTAGTTGTAGTGGGATTTACATTATTTTAAAAAGAAATAGGAGGTATATAGGGGTAAGTGGTGGAGAAAGGGTTATAAGTATGTATTTCACAACGGAAGGAAAATAATTCCTGCATGTACAACTTACTGTTTAGTCATTAAAATGTTTAGATCTGTATTGTCTTCCCTGATTTGATTTTATTTTCAGTAATTTTATTAAATTGAATTACTACACCTACAAAAACGATTAGAAGCCTTTGATAGCGGGTTCATGAATTCAAACACTCAAAACAATGCTTGTAAAATTACTTATGAAAACTCTTTTAAACAATCAATGTATGTGGATTAAATGTTTATATTATCGAGGACATATATTACATCAATTTTCACAATTATTACACATGCAATTCACAAGAATTTAAAATAACAAATTTACTTTAGGTTATCGACATTTATTTATTGTTTCAGATTGGTAATACACAAGTACTTACTTTCACAGACCCATCTTCAGTGTCAATAATTACACCTGTATTTACTATTACAGACAGGTTATGAATTTTAATCATTGCTTCAGACTGGTTATAAATTTGTGTTAACTTTCACAGACATGTAACAGAAAAATAACGTTGTTTAAAACTGTATGATTATATATGTGTATTTAATTATATTTATTATCAACGACATGTTTGGAAAACTTATCACCTGTTTCAGACTGGCTATAAAACTTGTATTTTAACTATCACAAGTAAGGTTATCAATTTTTAATTATTGTTTCAGGCTAGTCATAAACTTGTGTTAACTATCACAGACATGTAAGAAAAAAATATTGATTGCTTCGACTGGTTATAAACTTATAATTATCTTAACTTTCACATACATTGTGAGGAACTTTTATTAATTGTTTCAGACTGTTTACATACATTTTGTACATATATATGTTTCACAGAAAAAAGTTATATCACATGTATCATAGACAAGTGATACACATTTCATCATCAGATTGGTTCAAGTTGTGTTACTGGATTCATCTTTGTGTGACCAAAAAGGCACAAGCCAGATACATGCATGGTAACATCATGCACTTTATAAGTATTTAAATATATGAATTCATGGTAAAACATATTTATCTAGTCAGAAATCTAACCTACCTGTCAGACTGTCAAAATAATAGAAACTGAAAAAAATAACATTGAGGCTAACTCAAGGAACACCTCAGGTTCTTTTCAAAGTAATTCCACATCAAGATCCAACAGTCCCAGCATATCATTTGTTTGATGCACATTTAGCAATACTATTTGGTCTAGGATATATATATATGATATATACCTATTTGTTTGACAACATAATTCATGTAGCAAAACATTAAAAATGTGTATAATCCTCAATTCCAGGTAAAGCACTATTAAGTATAGTTGAAGCCCTGAGATATATTCACCCTCTCATTGAAATTAAAATAATACCTATACCATTTTCTGTTTATAATGTAACCTGTATCACTATATTTCACCTATTTAAATAGTGTTGCAATTGTCTCAGAATACCTGTCAATATATACAGTGATAGGCAATCAATTATCAACCTGTATTACTGTCAATAGTGATACATGAATATATAAATGTATGTATAAAACATGTATAGGGTAAATGTAATGGACAATTATTGTAAAATGTATAAATATACATGTGTAATACCTGTCTGTGATGGTATATACATGTGT